CCGCGAGGGAAGGGGCGGCGGGGGCGCCGTGCCGGCAGGGGCAGCGCGGCCTGCGGGGTCCCTCAGGCCCTGAGGGGCTCGCTGGGCCCCTGGGTGTAAACGCGACACACTGGAGCGATTCATCACTCTCTGGAGGGAGGCTTCTTCCCCGATGGGATGAGAGGGCCCGAAAACATCTGATGATATGACTCGGGCGGGGGGTGTAGGTAGGGGGGAGGCCTGCGAGAGAGGGCTTTCTGCCCAGTACTCATCGCTCGATTCCCCCACCTCAGGACTTCACGATGAGAATGATTGAGAGCGTTGACTCCGTGGTTACCAGGTCCAGCGAAGACCTCTGGGCTGAAATCTGCTCGTGCCTGCCACATCCTGACCAGAAAGATGCTAGCGATGCTTTTACAGACTCCTTCATGGATTCCTACACCGATGGAGGAAGCCAGGGCAGTGGGACAGATGGCTCTTCCCAAGCAGATCTGAAGCCCTGGGCACCCCTGAATGATTCGGAGGTGTATTTAGCATCCCTAGGTGAGTGTCTGGTGAGGCTTCGATTTCTCCATCTGCTTAGGTGCCTGATGACAGCTGTGGCTCTGTTTATGCAGCTGAGGTGATGGTGCTCACGGCTTTGGAAAGATGTCTTGCAACTATTTAATAGAGCATCTGACTCGTTTAAGTGCATTAGTGAAAATGAGAAGTGTGATCATAGCTCCTTCACCTGTGCCACTGAAAGGAACTTTTTGTCAAGTACAGATTGTTTTTTTGTTGGTTTTTTTTTCCCTTAAAATAAGTGGGGAAGGGACATGGCTGTTATTTCTCTGAAGAGCATGTAGTTCCACTGTAGTTGACTTGGGGAGGGGAAGTGCATTCTGAACTCATTATAGAGCCTGTGTGGCTTTGTGTTACCTGTATTTGTCTTATTCTTTTTGTGGAGTCTCAGGAGATGCTTCTGAGTGGAAAGAGAAAAGTGAGATTTCTTTCTGTGACCTGTTTTATGATTGGAGAGGAGGGGGATGGGTACGGGAAAGAAAGTTCAGATGCCTTCCTAAATCATGCCTGCTAGAGTCTGTATTTTAAGATGACAGATCGTCTTTGCACAATTGCTTCTCTTAATTCCTGCATAATCTATAAAGCTACAAATTGATTGTGAGCAGCATAACAGCTGATGGAAACACTTGATATGAGGGATGATAGGGTTACCAGTACTGGAGTTGACATCCTAGTACAGCTAAGCGCTGCAGTCTAGCTCTAAGGCCATGGAATTTGTCACGTGTTTTAAGTATTTCCTACTGCCTTCGGAGGCCTTACTACAACAGCATTCAGCCCTGGGACAGGCGCTCCTCTGGGCTGTTAGGAGGAAGCTTTGGGCTTCCCTTGCTCTCCAGCAGTTGGGCTGCTCCTCCCTCCACTCAAAATATTCCATCTTTATGGCTCTTCTTTCCCTGTTCCTTCCCTTCTGTGGAGTTATTTTTGTCTTGGGTCACTTTGTAACCTGGTTTACAGCCACATATATAGTTGTCTTGGCTTGCGTTGGAGGCTGCACACAGAAACAGGCCAGGAGGAATGGGTGGCAGAAGTGGCTTTTTAAGCTTTTATTTCTGCTAAAACTTCCATCTTGCCTTAGTTGCTGTTTAAGACTATTGTTTTGCAGTACATTATTCAGAGTTCTTAGATCAAGGGTGCCACAGCAACGAGACATACATTGCTCTTCTGGTATTAATTACTGCTGCAGTTCCGACTTGTTCAGAAAATGCCAGTGGGTTAATTTTTACAAGCAGGCTTCAGACTAGAGCTGTGTCTGTTTTCTCACAGCCAAGATGAAAGCGTAATGCTAGCACAAAGTTTCTCCTGTATATTCTAAGTCAACAGAAATAAACCTGTTCTGTGTTTGTACCTGGCCAGGATTAGTGACTGCAGAATCCCAGCGTCAGCCTGGCAGGATGTCTGGGCAAATAGGATAATTCAAATCTTCAGAATTGCTAGGGCCAGAGGCTTTGATGACAGCTCAATTCTGCAACTCAAGACAACCCCAGAAAGCTTAACAGGGGGGCCCCAGTGTTGTGAACTAGCCCCATTCCACTAATGATGATACACTTTTCCGTAAAAAGTGTGATGATAAGTCAGTACCTGAGCCATTTTAAGGAGGAAACTGGTATAATGGGATTTTGTGACCGGAGGAATTAATGAAATTTGCTTTCTTTATGTATAATGGTTAGATTACCCTGTGTCTGATAAGGAAACGCTTTTCCTTGTCCCCTGTGGCTGAGGAACTCACAATATCACATTCTGTTACAAGATATCCAGCTAATAATACTGCTGCACTCACATTTTTTTTCCTCAGTTTGCACATTATTTGGATTCATGCTGCAATTAGTGTGGTTTCTATTCCATGCCAATTTGCATGGAAATGGCGGGAACGTAATTCCTGTGAGATCTGTACTCTCCTGTGATTTTATGGGAACTGAACAGTAAGTGAAAGTTATGAAAACTCAAAACTGGGTGGAGTTGACTGATTGCATAAACCTTATTTTCTTCAGAAGCATCACCTAAAAATTATCCTGTATACATACAACAAAGACGGTTGTGCAGATGTAAAATACAGAGTGAAAAATGACTTTTAAAATATTACTTAGTCTTGAAAAGTTAATTTAACTTTTTTGATATAGAAGTCCAGGTAGTTCTTTTCTTCCCTTTCAGAAAAACATAATAAAGACCCCTCCTTTGCCTCTTCACAGAGAGAAGACTCATGAGAATTAAAGGCTTGTCTCGGGAGGTGACCTCCAAGGATATGCTGCGCACTCTCGCCCAGGCTAAGAAGGAATGTTGGGACAGGTTCCTGCAGGAGAAGTTTGAGTCTGAATTTTATGTTGAGGGACACGACTCTGATGAAAGGTAATGAGCAAGTCAATGAGAAGGGATCACCACTTACTGTGTTGGCAAACAGACTTCTATTTCTTAAAAACTAAAATAAGGTTTTGTCAGGACTTGTGACGGGGCACTAAGACAGAAATCACATCTCACTGCAACTTGGTAAGGCTGTTGCAGGCTTCCTCAGACTGTTTGATAATGACCATTTGCATCATTCTAGGGGGGAACTCTTCTAACAGTAGTTTAAAAAGCCCAACTGCAGCAGAATGTCTTTGTAGGATGAAAGATTCCACTTACTCCCCTGGCACACAGATCGGTCTCATGACAGATCTTATCCATGGCAACAGGAACACCTGCAGAGGTGCAAGAAATATATGTGGAGGATTTTCCTGATGCTTTTTTCATAGATTCCTGGGAGGCTGAATTGCTCATGTTTCATTCTGTGTCTCTGCTTTCCCTCAGCACACTAGAACATCTGAAGCGCTGGCTGCAGCCTGATAAAGTGGCGATCAGTACCGAGGAGGTGCAGTACCTCATCCCGCCGGAGTCTCAGCCAGAGAAGCAGGAGACGGAGGGAGACCCTCCAGCCGCCGAGCAGTGAGGTAGACACCAGCCCTGCCACAGAGATGCCTCTTCTCCCAGCCCTGATGAAGTTGTATCCAGCGATAGTAATATCGGGGGGAGCAAAAGTGCCAATTATCAGTCATTTAAAAAACAACCCCAACACACAAAAAACCCAGCTCTGGCCCTCCAGAGACAGTGACTGGCATTTGTTACGGATGAGAGCAGAATGCCTGTGACCCCACGTACTGAACTGTAATCTTACTTCCATCTTCTCCCAGCCTGTAGCAACCTGATCATTCCAGTCTGAATGTGAATCGTTTGTAATTCATCAGGAGATGTATTAAACACAAATAGCAGTTGTTCAGAAGCATCAGAAGACATAACGGTCTAGAATAGAACAGATAAAACCACTGAATCAGTTTTTTTTTTCCTGTCTTGTACCTTTTTTATTACTCAGTTGGGCTTTTTTTTCTTTCTTTCTTGCAAAGTCCACTGTGGTGTTTTCTGTTGATCTTCCCTGTTTAAGCCTGAGCTGGCCCTGAGCTGTGCCTGGAGGAAGACAGATATTTTTCACCTACATGAATTTGGAACCCTGCAGGAAGCTATCACTGTGATGGTTAAATTGATGGTATCATTGACATTGTAACTATTTAACATTCCTCTCTGATGTACCCTCCTACAATGTCCCCCTTTATTGACCAAACTAGGTGTTATAGAATAGGCTGGAGGGGGAGTATTTTTATTCTTGTTGGTGATTTGGTACCTGTTCTTTATCTCCTTCAGCCTTTCCAAAAGAGGGTCAGGTGAGATTCTGTATCGGGAATCCCAGAGCAATAACCAGGGAGGCTACAAACAACTTGTTTTCATCACAGACTTGCATACAATTCTCTGACTTGAAATATTATGTTCTAGTATTTGTTTGTCATCCTGTTTAACTCTGCAGAAGGTTATTTCCCATGACTAATCAAAGAATCCCTAACCGTGTACTTGAATGGGTGCTTTCTGTCTTGGCATTGACATGGAAGGTCGGTAGAGGGAAGCAGCTTACATATTCTGTGGGATACAGCTCCTCAAGACAGAACATGCAGGGGTGGTTCTGATCATCTGTGCACACTAGTCATGCCATGTTCATCATGTATCTGCACCAAAAGACATTTTTAAAAGTAGCTTCTTGATAGAGCTTCCTTGTTTCCTGTCAGTGCAGTTATAAATGGTGCTGTTATCTCATTTGCCGACCCTTGTTTCTCTGTTGGTGGTTCTCTGTTGGCGTCGTGACTCAGTGTTTGTTTCCACAATCAGTTTTTGCAGTAAAACCAGGCTGCCCAAAGTCACACTCGTGAGTCTCCATTAAAACAAACACTTTTATTTTTTTAAGACTTGAGAACTATAGTGAATCACCTGAACATCAGTGATATAAGACTTGCAAGTCTCCTGTCTTGGTGGAGAGTGGGTTTAGTCATCTTTTAAATGTCCCCTTTAACTTATCTCTAAAAATACATCTGCTTTCCTGTACTGACACAGTGCTATGAACATCTCTCACCTGTGATGTCAAGCTGTAACAAAGATGCTTCTGAGTATTTACCAGAAATAGTACGTACAGAGAGATGCAATTTCTTTGTACCCAGACTGTTTTGTAGTCAATGCATTTCTTTCTTGTGATCAGCAATGACTGTGAAGACACTTCACATTCTTTTGTCTATTCCCGTTTAAGCTATCCGAGAAAGAAATGTTTTCAGAATAACTGTACTGAAACACTTACAGTTTGGGTCCACATATCCTGGCATGCCCTCTAGAGAAGGGCACTTAGAGCAGCTCACACCCTTTCATTTTCCAAAATTCCAGCTTCTCCGAGGAGTGTCTTGTGTGGGAGGAGCAGTTTAGGGAAGAGGAGCTATTTGTAATTAGCATTTGCAAAGCGGGCTCTGCCAGGATGGCAGGGAGGGAATCCTATTGCTGCGTGTGGAGAACAGGCACGGATCTTTCCATCGGATCTAGGGACTTCTGGAGAAAAATTTAAAAAAAAAGCCATCACAGTCCCCATTGGTGAGGGGTGGGCCATGCCCCACCCTGAGCAACCCCATGGCTGTGCTGGCAAAGGGTTGGTTGGCTTCCAGCATAGTTGTGGCAGCTCCTCCGGCTCCAGCACGGCCAGGAAATCTGAACAGTGCTGGGCCTAGCGTGGGTTTGCTCAGTCGTCGCGCTGGATGAGAGTCAGGAAGAAATACCATTTTGCTTTTTGTGGCTGTTGATTGGCAATGTCAGCACAAGACAGTAAATGAGGTGCTGAAGCACTGCAGCATCATCTTCTGAGCAGAGAATTGAACCTGCCAAAGTGCTTAGAAGTTGGCGTTTAGTGGGAGATGGGTGTCAGATCAAGCAGTAGATCCAGCCCTGTCAGTCCAGACTTGCTCCAGAGGCTGCCTAACTGACTCAACTGGGGTGTAAACGGTAGGACTCGGGGCTTGATCTGCCCACTGAAGAACAAAGAAAAGTGTTTTAAAAAGCTGGTTGGTGAGCACACAAGCTATTTTTTACCTAGTTTTAACCTAACCATGCTTTTACTGTGTAGAAACATCAACACTTTAGTCCAACCCTGTGTTGCTCAAAAGGGCAGTGGCCAGTGAAGGCACTAGGGTGGGGAGGGAAGAACAAGCTGGGAGCTTTCACTTGGCCCAGCCTTTGGACGCTGACCCAGAGAAATCAGACTTGGGATGGGTCTGTACTTAAATCACCGTAAGAACTCCTCCGTTAGACTCCAAAGAACTTTACAAGATGTCTTAAACCGAACACATGAGGCAGTGCAACACATCTGGGTGGTGTCGTTGCACTCTGTGGTGCTACAGGTGGTTTAAGCAAGGACTTGACTTCAAGCTACTACGGTTTACCCCAGGAAAAGCAGGCTGGTTAGCTCCTGTCAGCCAGGCAAACTTTTGCTGGTGCAAGCAGCATTTTCCATAGGGATTTTTTTTTTTTTTTTTTTTTTTTTTTTACACAGCAGCACCAGCCTTCCTATAGGTGGAAATAATTTGCATCCCGGGAGATGTGCCAAGCTAAACAAAAAGCTGAGCCATTTGTACCCACATAGCAATAGAGAAAAAGCAGAGTGTCAGTTGGTGCAGACAGGTCCACAGGAGCTGTGTCTGGAAGCACCCTGTTACGAACAGAGACCTGCTAACTTGTAATGACAAAAGAAATATCAGCCCCGCCCCAGTTTGTACCTCTCAAAGACAATACTTCACCCTTTTCTCTGCGTGAAACAGCATTTCTCTACACCTGTAAACTTCCCAGAGGGATGGATCATGCTGGTATTGTAACACATCACCATCATCAGGCTGCCAGTAATTTGTTTTCAAGATGGGACAGAATAAAGTGAAATCTAAAACAATCTGAGTGCTGCTGCCTCAGAGCAACGCAAGGGCAACTGCTGTGGATTGTGCTGGCAAAAACGGCAGCCAGGCTACTAGAGTGCATCAGACAGCGAGGAAAGGCACAAGGAGGAAAAGGGGGCTGGGAAACAGGAGCCTCAAGGCACCTTTTCGTTGTAAGCAGCACCTAAACCAGTGAGTGACTCAGGAAAAAACAAATACTGGGGCAATGGCTGAGGTTGATTAGTGCCTCTGTGGAATCTAATCGACTGTAAACACCTGTTAAACATCCCTCTCCAGCACAAGGCAATGCACAAATGCAGCCCACAGCTAGGATTCACACACATCCCTGGGAAAACAAGGATGGGCAGCTGCCTACTGCCTCTGGATGTCGGCTTTGTTTGTGCTTGACGTGTGCTGATAAACGCACTCAGTCTGATCCTCCCTGCGCTTTCCCAAGAGCTCCCACCCACAGAGGGGAAAAAAAGGTGGTTCACCGTGTACTTGAACTGACAAAATCAATCCAATTGAAGTGTGAGCTGGCAGCACCGTATAATGATGCTGAGAATATTCCGTCCTGCTTTCTAAGTGACAGGCACTCCAGGATCTCAGGTTGGGAAAAATTGCAACCTGCTGCGGGAGGACAGTCTGCACCATGATTGCCATTTTGCAGAACAGGTGATAAACACCAACTGAGCACCCCAAGGAGAAGAACTTGGGGGTGTTGGTGGGTGGAAAGCTGCCTGTGAGCCAGCAATGTGAGCTGGCAGCCCAGAAAGCCACCCCTGTGCTGGGCTGCACCCAGAGCAGTGTGGGCACCAGGGCGAGGGGGGGGATTCTCCCCCTCTGCTCCGCTCTTGGGAGACCCCCCTGCAGTGCTGGGTCCAGCTCTGGGGGCACCAACAGCAGAAGGACACAGACCTGCTCGAGCGGGGCCAGAGGAGGCTACAAAGATGCTCAGGGGGGCTGGATCCCCTCCTCTGTGAGGACAGGCTGAGAGAGTTGGGGGTTCAGCTGGAGTAGAAAAGGCCCCAGGGAGACCTTAGAGCAGCCTCCCAGGACTGAAAGGGGCTACAGGAAAGGGGGGGAGGGACAAGACAAGGGGTAATGGGTTTAAACTGACAGAGGGGAGATTTAGATGAGATCTAAGGAAGAAATTCTTCCCTGTGAGGGGGGTGAGGCCCTGGCACAGGCTGCCCAGAGAAGCTGTGGCTGCCCCCTCCCTGGAAGGGTTCAAGGCCAGGTTGGACGGGGCTTTGGGCAACCTGGGCTAGTGGAAGGTGTCCCTGCCTGGGGCAGGGGGGTTGGAACTGGATGGGCTTTAAGGTCCCTTCCAACCCAAACCATCCTGTGATTTTCAGAAGTGGCTTTGGGTGGTCCTACTCTGGTTGCTCTCTGGAGATGTCTTGCAGGTGCTGGAACCTGTGGTTATTTCTAGAAGCCAACCTGGTGATCCACGCACAAAGAAAAGGGTAAAGTCACAGCAAACCCTGATTCCTGGTCATCATCAGTACGGGGCAGGCTGGACACAGGGATGTCATAGCAGATGCCTCAAGCTCTGATGCTTCAAGCAGCATCGCCAGCTCCCAGGCTGGGCTCAGCGGGGCAGATCACAGCTTTCAAATCCATCACTTGTCTCCATGCAGAGACACAAACCCCTGGGCCGGAGCAACATGCACTTTGGGATGAGTAAAGGTTATTCTGGAAAAACCTTTTCTGACCCAAGCATGTGCAGATGGAAAAGCTCCAGCACTGCTGCCAGTTGCCCTGGCCGTGGATGAATTATCTGTCTGAGTCGGGGTGGGTGTGCTCTGTCCCAGCCCTGCAGCGATTCGTTACTCTGCTGTCATGTCCAGACTCCATCTCTCATCTCAGATGATCTTTTAAGAGCCTTCTGCTACCCATATCAGATCGTTCTGCTGTTTAAAATTAACAGCAGCTCTCAACCAGACTGTGATATGGAGGCAAAGATGATTTTCTTCCTGCTGATTACTGGGTGGGGATGAGCACTCACCTCTGAAGTCAGCTCCCAGCCAGCTTTAATAACAGCAACCCACATCCCTCGGGCTGAGACAAATCAACAGCCTTCTCTCACCAAAAGTCATAATTTTGCAGAACTTTCCTAGGACACGTCTGACAATTTCAATTCCTCTTACCCCAAAAAATCCCAGTTGATGATGATTATTAATTTTCCCTTCTTTAATAAGCTACTAAGGTAAAGATGAAAAGATCTTGCAGGTGGAATCAGAGGCTTCCAAAGAAAACGGAGCTGATGGGCTGGCAGGCAGGTACCCCGGCCACGTTAAATAATGAGCAACCCTGTTACTACTCTCCCTTATTATGGGGCAAATGGCAATTAATACATCCAGCTTCAAGGTGATGGCTGCGGAGAAGGAAGGATTTGTTTTTCCTTCCAAATGAGAAAAAAAAACACCATGAAGAAGATAAAAATTACTAAGGCCCAGTCTTTTCATGAGAGGCAGTAACTGCTCCAAAGCAGTTCCATGACAGCATATTTCTGAATAGCCGAGAGCTTAAAAACTGCAGTGTTTGTCCTGACACTTCTAATAAAAACTTCCTAACAGTATTTTAGCTGGAAGATGGTGTTTGTGGTTGGGGGCAAGTGGCTGCTTGTTTTTTCATGACAATCTTTGCAGACCCAGGGTGGATTTCTGGGTGCTTGTTGCCCTCCCAGTGCCTTTGTAATCCACTGCCCAAACCCACGAGAGATGCCATGTGGAATCAGCTGTACAGGCTGCCCAGGGAGGCTTGGCTCCCCCTTCCCCTTTCAAACATTTTCAGCTTTGTTTTTACTCTTTATCTCCTTTGGGATATCTCCAAGATCAACCCCTTCCCTGTCCAGCTGGGGT